CGGGAGCTCCCTTTCTTTCTCCCCTCTTCCCCCTCGCAAAGGAATGTTTTTATAAAGACATAATTAGTTCAACATCTTTGGGACATTTGTGGGCCATTTCTGCTCTCGATTTTCTTTTTCGGCTTGGTCGGTCCCATGCACTTTGTTTTCAAAGAAGCTCTGTGGGCTGTAGCGGGGAGATGCCTCCAGTTCATCTGCTCTCGTCTTCCTGGTGACGGGGCCTTGCTGAACCTGGTGCCCGGGCCCCCCGGGAATTCCCATCTGGTTCTTTCCTCTTCAGGGACATGCCACACACAGTTCCGCAGTGGGAGGACTTGGGGCTGCAAATCTGTGAGAAATAAGTAGAACACAGATGTCCCATATCAGCTAGCTTTTGTCCCAGAGGTTGACTGACCTAGGCTGGACTTGGTGAGGGAGCTTGGCTCCCCTTAGCTGGGAGTCAGCCAGGGACTGTCACTCAAGGTCCTCTTCCTGGGGCCAGCTGCCCAACTCCGCGTGTCCTTATTACAGCATTGATAGAAAGGCAAGCAGGAACACCCACGGTCTTCTTCAGCCCTAGAGTGGGAACCGACCCATCAACGTTCCTACCCTATGCTATTTGCACAGCAAGTCACAGGGCAAAAGTCAAGAGGCGGAGAAGTAGGTCCTCCCCATAGTGAAAGGATGCAGCAAAGTTGGGGCAAAGGGCACAGATACCGGGAGGGAGAAGGAACCGCTCATCCCGATGATGTCCTCCTTTTTATCTTTCCCCGCCCCGGGCAGCACCAGAGCAGAGAAGGAAGCTCAGGCAGAAAGGCCCTGACAGCCTCCCAACCCCATGGTGCTTTGGCTCCACCTTGTCCCAGGACCGAGGTCCCCCCACCCCATACCCAGACTACAAGGTAGACAGGAGGGTCCCGCCCCCCGATTATAGCCACTTCACAATGAGATACAATAGACTAGCAGTGCCAACATTCCTGAGCTGAAGACTTACCACAATGCTTTGGTTTGCCCCCCAAATCCACCCACTCGTGTGCCCATCCTTGGTTCACTGAGCAAACTCCTGCCGAGCCTTCCCCCTGGTCAGCACCCCCTTGAGGATGATGGCCAGGCATTAGATTTTCTCTTAATAATGTCATCAACCCAAGCGCAGGGCTCCATCCCACTCGGTAGGTTGAGTCCACTCCTGGGGAGGCAGAAATGGAATACATCCCACTCTTTCTCTGTCCATTTCTCCATGGTTCACTCACTCCACCTATTTTAGTTCAGTGGATTTCTTTTCTGGGCAGAAGCTCCCGACACATGGAATGGGGTTGAGCACAGGATCCTTCCAGAGATGATGGCTGCCAGGCCAGGGCACCTGGGTCACTGGAATTGGAGCCATGCACTTGGGGGTTGAACCCTAGCTCTGCCATTGACCTTGGGTAGGGTACCTGTCTTTTAGTCTCAGTTTTCTCACCTATAAATGGGGGTATAAGGGCTCCTGTCTCCCAGGGCTGTTGCAAGGAATAAATGAGGGCATTGTGGAAAGCTCTGGGTACTCTGTACGGCCCCTAGTACATGTTCTTTCTCTTTGCTTTCCTTGGGAGACGAAACCGATAACAGGAGTGTCAGGTAGCGGTGCGTGTATGTGAACATCTACACTGGTGACAAGATTGTGCAGGAAAGACAAGGGCCTCCAGGAGACGTGTCTTGATCACAGACCGGGGAAGATAAGGCAGCGCTCAGTGCGGGCGAGATTCTCGCCTTCCCTTGGACCTCTGTGCCCCTCTGCCGCCATCAGTGTGGGACTCGGGTGTCCACTGCACCTGGGCCTCAAGTGGGCTAGAAGCTCACAGTGTCTCGTGGCAGGTGGGGAAAGCTCTGGTTCTCAAGTTTGAGAGTCCCCATGTTTCCACACTGGGACCACCGCCCCCATGTTGTCCCACCAACGGTCTCCTCTTTGGCAGTATCACTTGTCACAGTCACAACGGCCACTTCTGTGCCTTAGTGCCCTCATATGTCAGAGAGGACCAGAAGCTTACCTGCTTCATAGCGTTGTCTGTGGGTGTGATGAGCTACTACGCGAGAGCCTGCTTGCACAATGCCTGACGCAGCATCAATATTTTCTAATATTACATTTATTCTTTATATTATTACTATTAAAAACAAGACCTTTCCATAGAAGACACTTCAATGATATTTTGTTTGGAGATGGGAGTGACCCTGAGAGCGCCTTAAAACTGCTGCTGCGCCTGAAGATGCCTCCTATTTTCTTTTGTGAAAAAGAAAAGTGCCACATTCAGTGACCTCTTCTGGGACGACATGTGACTGTCAGCTACTTGTCCCCCCAAAACAAAGAATCCAGTCTGTTTCTTTAAGAGGGAAGTGCTTTTTAAACAATGTGTGAGGATGTAACTGCTTTTGGAGAAATTCACGGGTTGGAAAGAGCATTTTGAAAGCAGATGTTTGGAAATGTTTTCATTGTCATGAAATTGTATCGCCCAAAAGCAATGAAGGCGTGTTTCCCTTACATTCTTCAAGTCTACACACTGTAAGAACTTGAAAACAGAAAATTCCAACCAATGTCAATCTCTCCCAAAACAAAATTTGTAGGGGGTCTTGAATCTGTTTATTAAAAATACACAAATAACACCCTGACCATGGTGGCTCAGGCGACCATCTTTCCATGGAATAAAAGGTCACTGGTTCGTCTCCCAACCACAGCACATGCCTGGGTTGTGGGTTGGTTGCCAGTCGGAGCGCGAAGGAGAGATAATCAGTCTCGATGCTTCTCTCTCACTCTTTCTCCCTCCTTTATCTTCTCTCAAAAAAATAAAAAAATAAAAATTTTCTTAAAAAATTAAAATACACAGAGGACTTCTGGCCAAGATGGAGGCGTAGGTGGAAACACTGTGCCTCCTCGCACAACCAAGTTTAAAGACAACAAAGTTTTAGTAACAGAAATGCAGCCAAAACACAGAAAACTGAACTTGATGGAAGTCTGACAACAACAAACCATTCATCCAGACCAGTAAGAGGGGCAGAGTCAGCAGTGGAGCAGATTTGGGCGGGAGAGATCAGCCTGACCGACCCAGGAGCGCAGGACGCGGTTGGCGGATCCCAGGTGGGGGTGGCAACTGGCGGACCCAGTGAGGCTGCAAGGCGGCTGGCTGACTGCGGTCACACATTCGCGCCCAGATAAACCAAGTGAAGGAGCGAGCAGTGAGACAGACTGCTTGGGCCAGGGCCCCAGTGACAGCAATTAGAGCCTGAAAGCACCAATTGGAAAGACTTTTGGGGTTGGGGTGCCAGGAGAAGCTCCCAGGTTCACAGAGTTTGTTGGAGAGACCCAAGGGTCCTGGAGGGTACACAGGCCCACACACCCGGGAGCCAGCACCAGAAGGGCCCAATTTGCTTGTGGGAAGTGGCAGAGGGAACAGAAATCTGAGAGAGAGTGGAACAAACGCCATTGCCCCTCTCTGACCCCGCCCCCACATACAGTGTCACAACCCAGTGACCTGGGTTGCCCCACCCTGGTGAACAACTAAGTCTCCACCCTTCATACATCACAGGTGCGAACAGACCAAAACATTATGGCTCAAGAACAGCTCAAAGTCCCAGAGCCAATAAATCTAAGCGACCAAGAGATAGCTAACCTTTCAGATGCACAGGTCGAAACACTGGTGATCAGGATGCTCAAAGAACTGGTTGATTTTAGTCACAGATTAGAGGAACAAATAAAGGCTACACAAATTGAAATGAAGGGACATGCACAGGGAACCAATAGTGATGGGAAGAAAACTGGGACTCAAATCAAGGGAGTGGACCAGAAAGAAGAGAAAAATGACCAAACAGAAAAGAATGAAGAAACAAGAATTCAAAAAAATGAGGAGAGGCTTAGGAATATCCAGGACATCTTTAAACGTCCCAAGGAAGAGGAACAGCCATGAGTGGAAAACTTATTTGAACAAATAACAAAGGAGAACTTCCCCAGTCTGGCAAAGGAAATAGACCTCCAGGAGATCCAGGAAGCTCAGAGAGTCCCAAAGAAGTTGGACCCAAGAAGGAACACACCGAGACACATCATAATTACATTAGCCAAGATTAAAATGAAGGAGCGAATTCTAGAAGCAGCAAGAGATAAGGGGACAGTCACCTAGAAAAGAGTTCCCATCAGACTGTCAGCTGATTTCTCAAAAGAGACCTTACAGGCAAGAAGGGGCTGGAAAGAAGTATTCCAAATCATGAAATCCAAAGACCTACAACCAAGATTGCTCTATCCAGCAAAACTTTCACTTAGAATGGAAGGGCAGGTAAAGTACTTCTCAGATAAGGTCAAATTCAAGGAGTTCATCATCACCAAGCCCTTATTATATGAAATGTTAAAGGGACTTACCTAAGAAAAAGAAGATAAAAAATATGAACAGTGAAAGGACAGCAAACTCACAGTTATTAACAACCGCACCTAAAACAAAAGCAAACTAAGAGGACAGCTAGATCAGGAGCAGAACCATAGAAATGGAGATCACATGGAGGGTTAGCAACAGAGGAGTGGGAGGAGGAGGGAGAAGGTACAGAGAATAAGTAGCATAGGCTGTAGGCAGAAAATAGATAGGAGGGAGGGCAAGAATAGTATGGGAAATATAGAATCTAAAAAACTTGTGACACATGGACATAAACAAAAGGGAGGAATGGTGGGGGAGGGGTGTGCAGGGTGGAGGGGAATGAAGGGGGGAAATAGGACAACCGTAATGGCATAATCAATAAAATATATTTAAAAAATTAAAATACACAAATACTAATCCTCTCATTTGTTTGTAAGACTGACTGACAAACATCAGTGAAGACGGACATACACATTTGGCCCTTGAACAACGTGAGGGTTGGAGTGCCAAATGCTTGTGTAGTCAAAAATCCACGTATCACTTTTGAGTCCCCCAAACTCCAGTCACCCCTTGGTATCCACTGAGGATTGGTTCCAAGACCCCCACAAACCCCGAAATCCGTGGATTCTCATGTCCCCTATGTGAAATGGCATTGTGTCCTGGCCTGTGCTTTCCCTGCTCCCCGGTGTCCGGTTGTAACAGGGAGTCCACCAGGACACAGCAATCTCCCTCTCAGTTTAGGATGGCCACCCGGAGAATGGGGCTGGCTCTTTAAGGCACGAGAGGACAAAAAAAAAAAGGTGTAGATCAATGGATACAGCTGGCCCTCCTTATTCATGGACTCCCAACTGCAGACTCAAACGGTACAGGTATTCGTTGGAAAATATCCCTGTGTAGGTGGACCTGCAGTTCAAACCCATGTTGTTCAAGGGTCAACTGTATTAGCCAAATTTCACCAAAAACAGCTCCCACTTTTGTGAATGGAACTAAAACATGAGTATCAATATTTAGAAAGCATAGCCCACAAGGCACTCCTTCCATTTGAATTTTAAAATCTTTATATGAATCCAAATTTCAGCATTGTTTTCTACTTTAACAGCCTCTCAAATCAAGTATGGACATAAGCCTAAATAGAGTAGACTCCTGAATTATACCAGCACAGCGTATCAACACATGCTTTTCAAAAATAAAAAAAGCATATGCAACCGCACCGCTAGGACTAGAGAACAAACTCATTGAGAATTTTTAGGACTTTCCGTCAATATGGTGGCTTAGGTAAACATGGCTCACTGCCTCGCAGAACTACATCAAAATTACAACTAAAATATAGACCAACCATCACTCAGAACTGTCAGAAATTGATCTGAATGAAAGTCTGACCACTACAGAATTAAAGAAACCATCCAGACTGGTAGGAGGTGTGCAGGTGCAGAACGGGCTGGTCTCTCACCCATGTGTGGTGATAAAAACCCTGGAGGGATACCTCAGGAGTGAGGAGTCCCAGCCCCACTCCAGGCCCCCAGCCCAGGGTTCCAGTGCCAGGAAGATAAGTCCCCATAACTTCTGGCTGCAAAATCCAGCAGGGATTGAGTCAGTGGAAGAAAATTCTGGAGTCCCAAGCAGTTCCACTTAAAGAATCCACACAGGGACTTACTCAGACTCATTCTCTCTGAGCTCCAGCACTGGGGTAGCAGCTTGAAAGGCACCAGGGGCATATGGGAAGGATTTGAATTGCCTGGCATCAAGGCAGGGGCTGGGGCACAGCTTTCTCCCAGATAGAAAGGTGGGCAGAGGCTATTGTCCTTTTTCTGAGCCCTTCCCCCACAGACCACAGGGTGGACAGGTGAGTGTCATATCTGAGACTCCATCAGTGTGGTTACTAACTCTGTTTGCCTCCCCCTTTCCCCTGCTCCAGAGATCCCCACTCCCCCCCCCCCCCCCAATTTGTGGGCCTATCCAAGCTGTTAACAGTGATTTTTCCATATGAATGGCCAGTCTTGGCTTATGTTTTACAACTTCCTAAATCATCTCAAATAAGCAACAGCCAGCCTCAGTGAGCCCCCAGCTCCTTTATTTTTTGATAAGGGGCCAGAGGCCAGACACTAGCGGCAGCCAGTCTAGATTCACAGCTTGGCTTTGCCTGGGAATCCCCAAGCCCAGCACAAGTAGTAGCCTTCTCAGATTGCTTTATAGCTTAGGCAGGGTGGCCCTTGGCAAAACACAGATGGAGGCTGACCTTGGCCTGCATAACACAGGAAATCCCAGAGCGTGTACACTCAGTAGACAACTACAGACCACCTCAGAGCACCACCAAACTGTCCGTGCACAGCTGATCCTCCACACAGGATGGAGGGTGGTCAGTGGTCACAGCTGGTCCTTGCAACTGATTGGCCTGAGTACATCCCTCCTATTGACCTGCCAATAGCAACCAAGTCTCAACAATAAGGGAAGGGTGTACTCAGCCCACACAAAGGGCACAACTTGAGAATCCAGCTTGGGTGATAGGGGAGGCTGTGTCACTGGACCCTACAGGACACCTACTACCTTAGGGCACACTACCAAGACACAGAGTCAAAGCAGCTCTACCTAATACATAGAAAGAAACACAGGGAGGCTGCCAAAATGAGGAGACGAAGACACATGGCCTAAATGAAAGAACGGATCAAAACTCCAGAAAAAAAAGCTAAACAGAATGGAGATAAACAATCTATCAGAGGCAGAGTTCCAAATACTGTTTATAAGGATGCTCAGGGAATTTAGTGAGGACCTCAGCAGCATAAGAAAGATTCAGTCATAAATGAAGGACACACTAATTGAAATAAAGAGCAATTCACAGGGAAACAACAATAGAGTACATGAAGCTGAGAATCAAATCAATGATTTGGAACATAAAGAACCACAAACAACCAATCTGAACAACATGAAGAGAAAAGAATGCAAAAATATGAGGATAGTTGCTTTTGGGACAACTTTAAGCATCCCAATATTTGCATCATAGGGGTGCCAGAAGGAGAAGAAAAAGAGCAGAAATTGGAAATCTATTTGAAAAAGAATGAGCCCTGGCTAGTGTAGCTCAGAGGATTGAGCACGGGCCTGAGAACCAAGGGATTGCGGTTCAATTCCCAGTTAGGGCACATGCCTGGGTTGCAGGCCAGTTCCCAGCGTGAGACACATGAGAGGCAATTGTACATTGACGTTTCTCTCCCTTTGTCCTTCCCTTCCCCTCTAAAGATAAATAAATAAAAAATCTTTAAAAAGTAATAAAAGAAAACTTGCCTAATTTGGTGAAGGAAATAGACATGCAAGTCCGGGAAGCACAGAGAGTCCCAGGCAAGATGGATGCAAAGAGGGCCACTCCAAGACACATCATAATCACAACACCAAAGATTAAAGATAAAGAGAGAATCTTAAGAGCAGCCAGAGAAAAGTAGTTCATTACCCACAGGGGAGATCCCATAAGACTGTCAGCTGATTTCTCAAAAGAAACTTTGCAGGCAAGAAATATTCAAAGTCATGAAAAGCAGGAACCTAGAGCCAAGATTGCTCTACTCAATAAAGCTATCATTTAGAATCAAAGGGCAGATGAAGAGCTTCCCAGACAAGAAAAAAAAACTAAAGGAGTTCATCATCCTTTATGTATTATATGAAATGCTGAAGGAACTTATTTAAGAAAAAGAAGATCAAAACTATGAACAGTAAAATGGCAATAAATACATACCTATCAATCAGCATCATGGATATTTGATGGGTGCCAGATGGGAGGGGGAGTGTGGGGGAATGGGTGAAGAGGTGAGGGGATTATGAAGAACAAATAGGCAGTTACAGAATTGCCATGGGGGCGTATGGTACAGTACAGGAAATGGAGTAGCCAAAGAACTTCTACACGTGACCCACGGACATGAACAATGGTGTGGGGACTGCCTGAGGGAGTGGGGGTGCTGGATGGAGGGCCGCAAAGGGGGAAAAACTGGGACAACTGTGGTAGCGTAGTGGATGTGGTTTCTCTAATTCTGTAGTTGTCAAACTTCCATTCAACTTGATTTCTCGTGGTTCTGAGTGGTTGTTCTGCGTTTTAGTTGTAATTTTGATGTGGTTGTGCAAGGAAGTGTGCTATGTTAACCTATGCTGCCATCTTGACCAGAAGTCCAAGAATCTTTAAATAAAGCTAAAAGGTCTGTTATATTGTTAGTAAATAAAATAAAAACATTTAAAAGTAGTGTTTATTTCATCTTTATGTCTTCCTTTAAACACTTCTAGTTCTTATATATCCTTTATGGTTATATTTGTACATCATTATGTAATTTATAAACATTTACAACTAGCTGGAGACCTGTGCTCCTAATCACTTAAACCAGTCCCAGGCCCCTCTCCCTTCCATTTCTCTCTGGCACTTACACCTGCTCCCCGGCCCAGGGAAGCCAGGCCGGAGGTCCCGCTCTTGGCCTGTAGAGGGCAGCAGAGGGAAGCAAATAACAACTTGAAAGACCAGGAAGTGCTAATGGAGAACACCTTAAAAATGCCCGTTTTCTCCCCAACCTTTCCCATCCTCCCTCTTCAGCACTGGAGTAAAACAAACCAGCTGCAGACCCAGGGGTCTGAGATAAATCCCACAGAGGGCTGAGAAGGAGGGGAGTTAGTGACCTCCAGGCTAATTCAGAGCTAACTTCAGGGGCTTTCCACTTGATTCATCTGAAGACCAGAGACCTGGGGCCTTGGACTCTGGCCCTACCCTGCTCACTTCTAAGTCTCAGTTTTTCCAGCTGAGCTAGTCAGGATGCCATAAGTGTTCCATTGCATCCTTTCCGCCAAAGTGCCTGGCACATGGTCACCTGGTGCCAAGTAAGCACTGACAGACTTGAGGAGTGAGTCCTTCTCACCCTGATCCCTCTCTATCACACTGAGTTTGTGCCTAGTCTGTCACCCAGAGGACATCCCAGTGCATGGGAAGGAGCAGTGGGAGGCCAGCAGGCCCCCCTGAAGCCTTCTCGCCTTCTGCCTTGACTTGTTGGCTACCATGTCGCTGGGGTTCCTGGGAACACTTTCGGGTGGCTGTCCCAGAGTGCTTGCATGCTGAGGCCTTGTTCTCGGTGTACACATCCAGGTATTTGGGGACCGTCTCAGAGCTGGCTCCAGTGCTTGGTTGGCGTGGACCATGGCCTGCGCCCACTAACACCGCTCTAAGGCCCCTCACCTCCCACCCACTGGCCTGCTGGCCTACTGGCCTGATGGCTTCCAGAAATAGCCCCAGAGTGTCATGCCTCTGCCCCGCAGTCATCACCGGATCCCTATCCCTAAGAGAGTAAGATGGGAGTTCCTGGACCGGCATTCAAGGCTGCGGGATAGGCGCTCTCCCCGAGCCCCCGGCACTCTGAGCGGCTTCCCTCTGCCTGCTGGCCACTGCCAACAGGTGTGGGGCCGGCTCTCAACAGAACCTCTCCGAGCTGTCTCGGTTTCCTCATCAGCAAAATGAAGGCGGCTAACCCCTCGAGAACACGCAAGATACATGCAAGAAACTCCTCCCGTGTTGAGGACACTCAGCGCTTGCGGTTTGTCCCCTGTTTACAGATGAGAAAACTGAGGCTCTGAGGGAGGAGAGGTTTGGCCCAGATGTGGCAGAGCCGGGATCAAAATGCAGACCTTCCACCCCCTACGAGGGACATCGTCTACCCCCAGCCGGCTCAGATACCGCTTCTCCGGGAGGCCCCGGCAGCTCCCCTAGCATCTTGTTTCCTCCCCTCCACTGCACGTCACCGTCTGCAGTTACGCACTGATGGGCGGTCTCCCCTGAAGCCAGGGACTTGGTTTGTTTTGTTCAACCACTGCCTGACTCGGAGGTGGGGCCCAGGGAATTCTGGAGTAGTGGGAGGAGCTAAGATAGTTTCAAAGAACACTGGATGTGATGAGTTGGTTCCTTTCTGCTCAGTAGGACGCACCCTCAGGGGCTTCTCTGGTTGCCCGAGCCCCAGGGTCCACTCCTCCCCTGCGAAAACTGGCCCCAAGCGGCAACTGGTCTCAAAACAGCAGCATCTCGAGGCCGACTTTCACCAAAACACTGCAGGGGCATCACAACCAGGGGAGTAATGCGGGTATTAGGAGTTCAGGTTCAGAAAACTTTGCTGATGACTGGCGATGGGCTGACCAGTTGCTGTAACTGGGGAGGGCCGGGGAGGCTCGCAGGCGAGCTCGTGGCTTTGCGGCAGCGAGTCCAGTGGGAAGTGAAATGCATTTGCATCGTGTCCCTTTGGAGTATAGTCATGGTTCCTGAAAAGTTTGAATTTAATTATTAATAGCAACACCTCTTCTGGTAAATTTTTTTACTATGAAAAGTGCATAATTCCCAAACTGCACAGCTCAATGAGTTTTCCTAAACTGAAGGCAGCTGTGAGCAGCCCCAGAGGTCACCCGCTGGGCTCCTCCCACCCGCGCCCTGCCCCGAAAGTGTAGCCGTCCCCCCAACTTTTAGCTCCATAGATACGTTTTATCAAAAATGTTCTGGGCCGAAGCTAGAAGTCTATATTTTTATGTGAAATCTCATGATTATTGAACGTTGGCTAATAATTAAAATTTAAAACATGGCAGAGGCCAGCTCCATTCAGGCCAAACAAGAACTGCTTACAGGCCAAACATGGCCTGCAGGCTGCCAGCAGGGTGACCCGGAGGGGCCCCCAGGCCTGTGAGGGAGACAGGCAGGAACACAGACATCACGGCTCCGAGGAGGCCTGGGTGGGGAAGCGGGGGCCCTGCAGTGGGGTGTTTACATAGCACTCTGAGGGACAGTGACTCAGGCAGAGCGGGGCACTCCAGGAAGGGGGAGGGAGGCAGGTGGCAGCCTGGAGGGGCTGTCAGCGCACGGGTGGTCTGGAGTGCAGCGTGGTTGGGTGTGGTGGTGGTGGTGGGAGGGGTGGGAAGAGGCCCTGAAGATGTGCCCCCCCCCCAGTCTTGTACAGCATTTAGACTGCGTCTGGGGGCAGGAGGTGGAGAGTGCGGGGGGGGGGGGGGGGAAGCAAAGGCATACAGGGCCGATCTCTCTGGCTCCAAGTTCAGGGGCGGAGAGACAGGCGGGGGGCAGGCTGGGGAACAGCAGGAGACAGGCGGCCTTGGCCTATGGTGTTGGCTAAAGAGAAGGAAACCAGTGCACCCCCACCGACCCCCAACAAAGACTGTCCTTCACCAAACCCAAGTCAGGCCCCTCTGAGCCCTGTTCTCCACCAGGCCCCGGCCCCAGGCTATGGCCTTGGTCCGCTCGGTCCAGTTTGGGCAGGAATCCTGCTGCGTCAATTCAGTGAGAATCCCTTGCCCTCAAAACCCAACCAGACTCCTCATCTCCCAGCTGCAGTGTCTGACCCCCCGGGGCTGCTGTCCGCAAGGCTCTGTAGGGCCCTCTCAGCAGGAGGCACCCTGACCCTGACCTTTCCTCTCATTTTCCACCCACCCGCCCCGCCCTGCTCCCCGGCTGTAAACCCCATCTTGTTGCTGTACTCGGAGTAGATCCCACCTCTCTCCCCTATGGCAAAATTCCATGCAGAGGTACTTTGGGAAAAGTCTACTTCCTGTCTTTAGCAAGTGTCATGAATAATTTTTCTTTAACACCTGTCTACACCCAAGGCACTTCCAACTGTATGGCTATTTGAAGATCAAAAACCCTACACCTGAGTTTGGACATAGTAGTTGGCAGCCCCCAGGGGCACGCTCTCCACCCCGACCTCATCTTGGGCGGGAGCAGCAGGCCCGGCACAAATCAGTCAGGACTTCTGATCGTCCCCGCACCCCCAGAGCTGTCCCTCCAAGGCCTTCTACCTTAGCCGGTGGCAGCTCTGTGCTTGCAGGTGCTCCTGCCAGACACTTCAAGGTCATCTTTCACATTCCAGATTTGATCCTTGAACAAATCCTGCTGGACCCGCCTTTAAAATTGCCCCAGAGGCTCAGCTACCATTGCCATTCCTCTGGTCTGAGCCGCTGGTTTACTCGCCCGATTCACGTACTAGCCCTTAGCTGTCTCAGTGTCTCCATTCCTCCTGCCCTGGCAGCTGGAGTGGGCCTGCCTGCTGCGCCCTACGTCAGGTCCCGCCTCCCTCTGCTCGGGGTCTTCCAGGTTTCCACCTCACCAAGAGCAAATGCCAGACTCCTTGCTCATGGCCGTAATCTGTCCCCTCCCCACCACCTCTCCAATCTCATGTTCCGATACTCTCCCGCTGCCCACCGCTCTCAGTTAACCCCCGCCTCTTCCTGGAAGCTCCTTTCTGGAGATAGCCCTCTGTCTTGCTCCCCCTCTCTTTCAAGTCTTTGCTTCAATGTCGCCTTCTCCGTGAGGCCTCCTTGAAATCTCCCTTAAAGTCACAGCCTGCTACCTTCACGCCTGCCCACCTCCCTGCTCTGGTTTTCCCCCTGGCTCGTGTAACACCTGCACACTCAACAAACATTCTTATTACTGTTGTTTGTGTTCTTCTTTCTCGTGGGTGCCAAGCATCCAGGGGGTGGTCCATGAGTGGAACCATGTCTTAGACAGGAATTTCAACCCCCTCTCTGTCTTCCTCTGGGTATTTTTTTGAGAGTGTGGCCCTGGGACATATTTCACTTGGGTTCCCCTGGCTTTGGACACACAGAACAGGGCTCCCAGCCTGTGGGTCCTGCCCACCCGTGCACATGAACCACTCACTGTCTGAAGTCCAAGGCTGAGGAACTGGCTTTCAGATGTGTACAGATACTCCTATGATAAATACTGTACGCCTGTTTAAAAGCATTACTGGATTTCTTGTAGCTGCTTGGCCGTAGTAAGTTTTCTCTGTCAACCAGTACCCGGCTGCCACTGTTGGTGCACAGAGAGCCCTCTCAGAATAGTCGGAATGCCCTGCCTTCCAACTATTAGAAAAGGGGTCTAATAAATGAGTCCGGAGACCTCTGGCCACCCTTTCACAGGGTTCCTGCCAGGCACATGGCCCACGATTCCTCTCTCCCACCGCCAGGCAGAGTAGCAGCAGCTGACAGGAAACAGGAGCTCAGCCACCAGAGTGAGGCAATTCACAGCCCCTTGACCTTGAGTTCCACAAGCCTGCCACTCCACGAGCTGCGGCCTCTTGGAGCAGTTCTCGGCTTAGGCAGAAGTGAAGTGAGCTCTTGCAATCAACGTGCAGTTAGTGGTTGCACGCCTCGGGCACCCGGGCACAGGGGCTGTGCGTGCGAGGGCGGTCAGGGGACGCGGTGCAGAGGTGCGCATGGGGGCGCTCACGGTCAGGCAGCCCCGCCTCCCACAGAGATCCGAAAAGGCTCCTGTGGGTTTGGTCGACCGCTCTTGGCTCCTATGTTAATAAACAGCATTTGTGGAGTGCATACTGCCAAAATGCTTTTTACAGGCATGATCCCATTTCAACGGCAAGATACTCTTTTTTTGTGGGTAAGACAATCAAGGCTCAAAGAAGTTAAGTGACTTTTTCAAAGCGTAAGCGCAGCTGGTCAAGCCCCAGATTAGCCTGACCCCAAAGTCAGCATTCTTGACCATTTTGTCCCCACCCCGACTTTAACTCTAAAGATTCTGGGTTGGATGCCTCCGAGGGACATCCTGCCCGGTAAACAACTTTGTGTCCTTCCTGGGTCATGCTGCTCAGGACCCCAGGTGAGATGGCTTGTGTGGGGAAGCCCCATTTACCACACTCCACCCTTGCTTGGCACACTGTGTGGGACGGCGCTTCTTTGCCACCCTCCCTTCTTGTTCCACCCCACCACGGGGGCCGCAGGTGACTGCAGCTCCATCCTGCCAGAGATGCCTTTCCCTCGGCTCCTAGGGCCTGCGCCTTCTTGAGCAGCCCCCAGGGGAAGCACAAGTCTCTACAGATGGAATTCCTGGCGGGGCACCCTCCTGGCCTACCCTGCAACTCCTACAGAGGTCAGCACGAGGCGGTCCTTCCCGAGGGTCCAGCCGCTCTCCGGCTGTGGGGCACCCAGCAAACTGCAGCTCAGACCCTTCGGCTCTCCTTCCAGAACAGTGTCCTGCTTGTCCATGTCCCTCGTGCGCCTCAGCAGGCTCTGCCCTTGTCTGGGCCTTTCTGGGTCTTAGAGTGTCTCCTCCTGGCTGGTTTGGTTGCCCCACGTACCCCGCGGGAAGCCTCTTTCTCCGAGAGCGCCCTGCCAGTCATTCTCTTGGCTTCTCAGACCCTCCACTCTGGCGCGGGTCGCTTTCGGGGGCGTCCCTTCTCGCCCGGTCCTCCGCCCTCGCGGGGCGCTCCCCGCCCCCCTCCGCCCCCCACCCCGTGAGGGCGGGCACTGAACACTGTCGCCAGCCGCCTGCAGGTGTCTCCGCACGGAGGAGCGCGCGTCCCTGCGCCGCGGCCGCTGCCGGGCGCCAGCGACTCGTTGCTGTGGGGCACTCGCGCTCCGAGCTCCGGGAGCGCAGGAGCCTCTCTGTCGCCGCCGACGGCCCCCAGCGCCGCTCTCCCACCCGCGGGGAGTGTCATGGGCCCGCGCCGCGTCCACCGCTGCCGATCGCAGGCGCCCGAGCCCCGGGGCGCGGCGTGCAGCGGCCGCTGACGCCGGGCGCCGGCTGCCAACTTCGCGCGCGGAGCTCCCCGGCGGCGCGGTCCTGGCGGCGCGGGCGGCATGAAGACGAGCCGCCGCGGCCGAGCGCTCATGGCCGTGGCCCTGAACCTGCTGGCGCTGCTCTTCGCCACCACCGCCTTCCTGACCACGCACTGGTGCCAGGGCACGCAGCGGGTGCCCAAGCCCGGCTGCGGCCAGGGCGGGCGCGCCAACTGCCCCAACTCGGGCGCCAACGCCACAGCCAACGGCACCGCCGCCCCCGCCGCCGCCGCCGCCGCGGGGAACGGCCCCCCTGGCGGCGCGCTCTACAGCTGGGAGACGGGGGACGACCGATTCCTCTTCAGGAATTTCCACACCGGCATCTGGTACTCCTGCGAGGAGGAGGTCGGCGGGCCCGGTGAGTGAGCGGCGGCGTTCGCGGGCTCGGCTCCCGGCTCCGCCGGCTGCGCGGCCCCGGAGGCTGGAGTCCCCAACCGCGCTCCCTGCTCGGGCCAGCGAGGGACCCCGCACCGCTGTTCCGGCGCCCCGCAGGGCTTGGCCCCACGTTCTGTGCGGGGAATGCGCGTTGCGCCGATTGCGGGTAGAATGTTAGGTGTTCGGGACGCTCCTGCGTTTCATGGTTTGGGGCCGCGGTCCTGAGGCTTCCGAGCTCCAGGCGGCTTTGAGGACGTTGCCGCGCCCTAGGGAGGCGCGTCTCCCGGGAACCCACCGCGGCTGCAGGGCGCAGGGGCGCGCGCTCCTTTCGGCGCCAGAACCGCTCTCCGTGCTCGCCCCGCCCCTTCCTTCTTTCGCGGGGCGCCGGGTGCCTCCCACCCACCCCGTCCCGCCCGGGGGAGGGGTGCTGCTGGGACTGTTGCTGGGAACCGCCCTCCCACCGCAGATCCACGGAGTCAGGAGCCCAGGGAGTCGTTCCTTCCAACCCATCTCCAGCCTGCACTAAACGGCTCTCAGACGGGGCCTGGAGAGCACGGGGGTGGGGAGTGGGGGCCGCCCGGTGGCTTCCTAGCTGGGAGCCCTCCGCGTCCTGGCCCGGGCGGGGAGAGGACGCGGAGGGGAGGGAAAGGAAGCAGGGGAGGATGCGGGGTCGCTGGCCGAGGCTCCGAGCAGAACCGGGGCGTGCGTGAGTTTTTAGAAGGCGGATCGGGCTGCTGCCTTTGCCTCACGCCCCGTCCCGTGCCGCCGTCTGAACGCAGCCAGGGCGGGAGCGAGTGCCCGAGGAAGGCAGCGAGGCTGGGCAGGGCTCCGGGAGAACTGCCTGCCGGCGGTCGTCCAAACGCTGGCGGGGGCTGGTCCCCAGCACCCGGTACCTGCCAGTCCCAGGTGTGGGAATGCTCTTGAATGAACTGACCTCTTTCCCCAAGGTTAAAACTCCTGGCATGCATAGCTCTTCTGTGTGGACATGGTGTTACGTGTGTACTCAGATGTAGATGGATTGGGACCATGACGAATAGTTGGTCCTGCCTAAGCCGTTGGCCTAACCGATGTACATAAAGGTCAGAGGGAGAAAGTGCAGAGGATGTGAGGAGTTTGCTTCCTCCTCCTGGAAGGCCGCCCCCCCCCAGCACCAGTGGGACCGCTGGCCTGCCTTCTGAGGTGGGGTCCTCTGGAGCGGAGATCTCTTTGGATCTCCCTCTGGAGACAGGGGTCCCCCATTTTTGTATCTCATCACCACTTTTATCTCCCTCGTCACACTTGAAATTTTCCGGGGCCTGCCCTCGGTCAGCAGCTTCGTATGCCCTGTTCTCACAGGGTGTGCCACTGGGTAGTGTCTGATGAACAGTCCTTCTTGACGCCTATTTGCAGGATAATGTCGGATGAAGCCGTAGGGGGATGGATCAGAGTTTCCTGAGGCGCTACCTGCTCCGTCTCACCTCTGGGGGTGCCCCATTGCTCTGTGCTGGCCGTTTGCCAAAGACAATGGAGTTTGAACGGGGCCCTGTCCCTGACCAGTTCCACACCCTCAGATCTCTTCCGGTGTGCTTTCCTGTCTTGAACTTTTACTGTGGTATGTAATGAAAAAATGAACCTCGAGAGGCATCTTGGCTAAAACTCTGCTTTCCACTCAGCCCAACTCTGACCTCTCCCTGGGAGACCTCACCCTTGTCTGCAGCCTTTGGAGGCGACTCCCACACGCCTTTCCGGAGATGGGGCTGCTGTTTCCAGGGTTTGGGAGGCCTGCCCCCCGGACACGTTGCCGCCACCTCCGACCAAGTCTCTCCTTCGTGGGAAAACGCAGGCGCCCTGCTCCTCCCTCCACACGCAGAGCTATGCCTCTGGCAGCAGAGCCGTCCCGCGCGTCGCTGGCCCGCTGAGCGGCTGGATGGTTGGCGGCCTCCCGCAGCCTGTCACTGACGGTCACAGTCCAAACCCTCGCGGTCACGTCCCAGGTGCTCGTCCATGTAGCTTATCCAGGGCTTGGCACATGATGTCGAAGCCTGAGCACTTAAAAACTTATTAATCGGAGAACATTTAAAAACAATGCTAGCTGATATTTATTGCGCCCTTAATGTGCAGCAGGCAGGGTGAGAGCCACTCACCGGCGGGACCTTGTCGAATCCTCGCCAGCACCCTCGAGGCAGGCGCAGCTGCGGGCCCGTTTGCCAGGTGAGGCGTCCGAGGCTCAGAGAGGTGTCTGACCAGGCCTCGCTGCTGGCTGGGGGCCTGAACTGTCTTCTGGCGCAAAAATGAATCCGGGGGAAGGAGTGAGGGAAGAGAATGATGTACTTGGAGGCCGGAGAAGGGGGTGATGTGGCGGGTTCAGCATGAACCCGCCACCTGTTAGTAAAAACATGGATGATGAGTTTCTCGGGCAAATAAAACAAACCCCCACAGTTCTGTCTTTTCTCTTAATCACTGTTGACTAGAGAGTGCCCCTCCCAGAAAATCACAGTTTTCCTGCCTGAGAGCTTGGAAAATAGTTATCAGCCTGTCAGTGCTGGAGAGAAATGGGGAAGGCTCCAGGCGGCGCGCATGATTTCCCGGGCCCTCCCCGCAGTGCCTGGTCCCGGCCCCCTCCCTCTGTGGTCCGGAAAGGGTGTCAGGAACTACCTGGCCCCAAACTTTTGTTGCTATGACAACCTTTCTTCTGGGTTCTGTGACCATTTTAAATTTATTTTTCACTCGAAGAGGGAAAAATGCCCCAGTAAACCGTGGAAAAATCTGCCCTCCCCTCCCCCAACCCCTGAGAACACTGCTGATCAACTTCCTTTCCTCCTGCCCAGGAAACTGTAAGGAATTTTACCTTCATGGGAGCGAGAACACCAGCCACGAAATCCCAGCCTCTCCGTGAGCAGCAGCTGCTAAATGTTCCTTCTTCCCAAAAGCATGTTTGGTCATTTCTATCTGTGCTTAGAAAAAACTCTCCCCACTCCGGGCAGCCACGGGGAACTCTAATAAGCCCTTTCTCCCACACTAAAAATCCACAGTGTTCACAGAGAAAACTGCAGCCTGTCCTAAACAGACACAATTTCACCAGGCCCGGCACAAAGGAACCTCTTTTCCTTCCTCCAAGAAGGAGCATTAGCCTCCCTCCACAAAAAGAAAGGCAAGTACGGCCTTGACAGGAGTTCCTCCCGCCCTTCCCACAAATTGCGTTTCTCTCTGGTTTGGATGCTCGGAAGGGTTGGGTGGGTGCGGATGCAGGCAGTCTGGGGGTGCTCAGCAGGGTAGAGGCTTGGGGAGGAACAGTGGTGGGCAGACAGGACAGCCGGCAGGTGGGTAACTGGACGCACAGGTGAGGAAATAGTGACTGGACAATGGACGAGGGGCCAGGGACAAGGAGGACTTCTGAGGGTGGCTGGAGGGAGTGGGGGGGGCGGCCAGAGAGGAGAGCCCTGACGGGAGGCAGGGGCTGGCTGCGGGGGGTTCCGACTTGACTCTAGACCCACTCTCTTCCCTGCAGTGGGTGCGGCAAGGCCCACTCTCTCTAGTGAAGGATGGACTTCTCCGGGATAAGGCCAGGCTCTGCCTTTTTTTGGTGGTGTGGTTTGGGCAGGAGCCTAAGTTTGGGAGTCGGAGCAGTTGGCCCCGCTCCAGGTGTGGGGATCGGTGAAGCGGTGCCGGGAAGGTGCCGAGCCGCTGCTGGGTGAGTGAGTGCACCCGCCCCCTGCGTGCCACCCCTGTCGGAGCTGCTCACACCTCCCTCCTGTGCACGTCTGCAGCGGCCAGGCCGGTCGGTGGGCCTCTGGCTCTGGCCGTTGTTCTCCTCAGTCCCCCCGACACAGACAGCGTCAGAGTGGTCATCAGGCCCCGTTTCCCCCTTTGCACAGCCCCCCCCCCCCGACGGCTTCCTCTTACTCAGAGTCAGAGCCATGGTCTCTCTGGCCAGAGGGTGGCCCTCAGCCCCTCCCTCGCTACACCTTCTCTTACCTCTCCTTCTCCGCCTCCCCAGCCCTCACCCTGGGCCACCGCTCGGGCCATATTGGCCACCAGCACCAGGCACGTTCCCGGCTTCAGGGCCTTTGGACCGGCCCTTCCCTCTGCCTGGAATGTTCTTCTCCCGAATGGTCACAAGACTATTTCTAGAAACTTTAAGTCATTGCTGAGCTCTCTCCAAGCACTGGAATCAAAATTGATCTCCCTGCACATTTCCTGCATAATTTTCCTTCTTGCACATGCCACCGTGGCCTTCACCTTGCTGCCCCTTGTCTGGTTTGTGTCGTCCACCAGCCGCCGCCTGCAGGCGGAGTCCAGTCCGTCGGCACTGTTCCTACGGCACACAGTAGGTGCTCAGCCGGCATCTGTGGGAGGAACGTTGCTGGTCGTCAGGACAGTTTGTGTCCAGTTCTTTCCCCGGCTCTAGTGTCTTCTGGTCTCAGCGAGACGGGGCGCTGTCCGGGGACCGCTCCTCCTGTCCACCGGGGCGGCTGGGAGAGTGTCGGGTGGGGCCGCTGCCCCTCGGGAGGAGCCGGTGCCCAGCTGCCTCCCTCACCTTTCTGGCGTCTCTCCTTTTCACAGAACCCCGGCCTTTCTGCCCCACCCCGGTAAGTTACGCCGGGCACACGGTGCTCGCTGAGGCCCGGCCCTGTGTCCGAGGCTGCCCACCGCGGCCGAGGGTCCGATCCGAACTCTGTTTGCGGTGCCTTTGTATAAACTGCCAACATTTGGAAATTGACACACCTCACAGAAACGTTTGGGTTTACACTTTTCCTCAAAAACCCTGGCAGACCTGTTGGCACTGGGCTCGGGTGCCCGTGGGACAGCGTCCAGCCTGCCCTCGCTGGCCCTGCCCCCTCGCCGCTGGCCTTTCCCGACACCTGCCAGTGCTTAGGCCCCGAGCCTTGGAGTCAGGAGGTCACTTCCCTCCTGTTCTCAGTACCCCACCCTGTGCTCTGTTTCATTCAGTCCCGGCCACCCCGCTTCCCGAGCCGGTGGTTTAACCCCACTGCCTCTCTGAGG